TCTAAGGCCTCTTCTTGTCAGCGTGGTTACCAAATATCAGAAATGTTGACAAATACTACAATAGATTTTTTTCTAATTTTTGCATAGTTTTAGGTAATTATTCTAATTATGCTCATAGGACCCAGATGCATGATGTCAGCATACGTTCAGGCATCACTCAGTGTGACTAAACACTAACTTACACCACGTGACCTCCATTCTGCCTAAATGTGCAGATTTTGCTTCCTCCTCTTTGAACCTAACCTGTTTATGAGCTGGATGCAGCCGAGCACCTGCCCTGGTTTCTGTTGCCTCACCGCGGGGACGACAGGATTCACACCATCGTCTCTGTGCACTTGGATTTGCAAGTTCTTTTGATATGAAGATCCCCGGCTTCAGCACGCGCTGCAGCTCGCTGCATGGGATCGTATTCTCTCAACCACAAACTATTTCTTATTCCTTTTGCTCTTTTCGCCCTCATGTATTCTCTGCCTCTGATCACTTTGTTTTTTCCTCATATTGATCTATTCTTTATATCAGCTGGGGTCTCCGTCTCTGCTGCACTTACTTTGCTCGCCTCTGTTGCTCTCTCACTCTCAAAAAAACAAAAAAGGTCTGCCCTCCATCCTTCATCATGTTCATGTGTGTCTCCCACCGTGAAACAAAACAGTCTTCATTCACATGACTTCACACACTCCTCCTTCCTGCTCTGACAGCATTATTATGCCAAATAAAACAGAGAGGCTTTCAAGTAAAAACTCCATTGTGCTTGTGCAATAAACCACTGATTGACTTGAGTTTCTATTTGCAGGATGACTCAGACGGGGCTGTGCAATACTGCCTGCTTGACAAAAGATTTTGCACACCACAAGGATTTATAATTCTGTGTGAATCAGCTGAGATGTTTCTGCCGTGTGTGATTTGACTGATGTCAGTCCAGAGAAATCAGTGAGTGTAAGTGAAGAAAACTTCAGAGGCTGCTGAAGGATGCTGCACGAAAGAGATGAAATCAGGGAACGACTTAGTGTCTCCGTCAGTCAGGAGGAGGAAATTATTTTAATGAGAGCAACAGCTTTACACTCACATCAGCCTGTACATCACTGATTCCTTCACTAACGCTGAACTATTTTACTTTTACTGTTGTGCTGGCTTTGGCCTCTCATTTTATAACACAGTGACAATAAACTTTATTTATAAATCACTTTGCACAGCCAAATTGTAAAGTGATTTACATGGTGGAACCAGAATTACAACACTTGAACTGGCTGGACAAGACTTTTACTGGCTGATTTCAGCGGCCTTCATGAATTCTGTCGACTAAAATTCCCATTCCCAGCCGCTGACTTCAGGTGATAGATGGATCCAGGACCCGCTGACTCCAGGTGATAGACGGATCTAGAAGGCACTGACTCCAGGTGATAGACGGATCTAGAAGGCACTGACTTCAGGTGATAGACGGATCCCTAAGCAACCGACTCCAGGTGATAGACTGATCCGGGAGCGGTTGATTTCAGGTGATAGATGTAACCTAAGCAACTGACTCCAGGTGATAGACTGATCCAGGAGCGTTTCGGTCTCCCCCCCCCGGTGCGTCCCGTCTCCTTGGAAACGGTAACAAACATGGCGGGTTAAACTTGCTAGAGAAAGTCATTTTGTGTAGCCAAGACAAAGGAAGCCTCGCAAAACCAGGTAACGTTTTGTTGTTGTTGTTGTTTTAAATTTAACTTTTATTGTGGCACAGTCTAAAGTCAGCATTGGGTCTACTTGCTGTCTAGCGTCCTAAACTAGCTACTGTCGAGGCAACGACACGCCAGTGTCCATTTAAGAATCTAGTTATTTAAAGTTATCTTAGCTGCCGGTAAAGTCACACAGCCGAGGAACAAGAGCTAACATCTTCTGAAAATCACCAACAGCCGACCTTCAAATCGGCACAAATGTAATGAACCGAGAACCGCTTTAAGACGAACTTTTCACACGAAACCACATCGATTTATGTTTTTACATTGAGTTAATAACTGTTGATGAATTCTGAGTAACGTATTGGTAACGTTTTAATTTTTTAATTATAAGGTTTGTGGCGCGGTTAGTTAATTTGTGTGGAATCAGTAACGTTAGCTGTCAGTCCTGTTCGTGTGATTGTGGTTTTCATCGATCAGGTGACATGGACGCAGAGGACGGAGGAAGTGACGTCATGTCAGACAGGTGTTCACAGCCGGATGTCCACCTCAGCGCCGGTGAGGACACTGAGGGTGAGTGACAGCTCCTGGTGATGCCCGGTTGTCAAAATATAACCATAAAGATAAGGGCTTAATCCATAACCACAAATACACACACACACACACACACACCTACACACACACACACACACACACACCTACACACACACACACACACACAGTACCCTATAGTCTGCCTTACTTTAGCTCTGGATCACCTCAGTGAATATATTTCAGATGACGATGCAGGTCAGGGGACCTTTGAGGATGAAGAACCAGCCCTTCCTCCTGACTTTGAGTGGTTAGAAGAACTGTCAGAGTGGGTATTTCTTGCTTTTTTGTGATCCATATAACATTTAGACTGACACAGGAGGTCTATGTAGCAGCCTTTAGTCCAGTTGTGTCCCTCTCAGTGTCTGTTGTAGACAAAGTGATTCAGTCACATTCTTACTGTGTAACTGTATTCTGTGTATATTGATTACTGCTGTTTTTCTTGATCATATACCTCAATACAAACAGCCACTCTGGGCGTCACTGTAGGATATTTTTTTGTCGATAACAAATGTTAAGATTTTGCATTAAACATGCAGCCTTTCCTAAATGTCATTTCGCATCTGCCCCAAGAGAGGACGACGGTGATGCCGGTGGTGACCTTGCAGTTGCGCCCGACATTGGTGAGAAGAGGAGTTGTGCCGAGACAGCACGGATGTTCAAGCTGAGACGAAACCTGGACCAGCTGGACTGCTTTCACCGACAGAAGGAGCACGACGTGCTGGAAGCCAGGTCTGGACCTGGCAACAACCGGCCTCTAGAGCCACAGCGGCTCCTTAACCCACATAGAACTCCACGTGCCTTTCTGGACTCTACAGAAACACGTACACAGAATAGAAAACATTGGGGCGTTATTGTGTTTTTTACTCAGTAGGTGTATCAAAAGCATGCACGTCTTTTCGGTTTCAGATTGTTTATTTTTCCAGCGTTATTCCACCTTCCCTCCCAGGTCTTCCCCCTCTTGTCCTCCTCACACACATCGTTTCTGTACCAATTGATTCAGCAATTTGCAGGAAATCATTTCAGCTGAAGAGAGAACATTTCCCATAATGTCCTCTCTCCCCACTTTTCTTCCCTCTTTATATTTGTCTGCACTGCGAACCATTAGGCGCCTGATGAACTGTGATACAGCTCCCATCAGAAATGTCTGTCATTTTCCTTCAGCGGTCAGCGTGGAGCCGCGGCGCTGATTAAACATGAGTTTAATGGAACCTAAGTGCACCTGGTTTTTAACCAATCCGCAACTGTTATTGTACAATTTCTTTTTTTTTTTTATAGCAGTCTTTACCGCCGGTCACAGATTGTTGTGTTTCCCCACAATTACACTGAAAGAAGAACACGGGGCAGTTCAAAGCTCACTCCTCATTAGATTACCTCGTCTGTTGTTGTAGTGGCCACAAGGAAATCCATCAGCCTGGTGCTCTGAACACACTCCTCTTCAACTGCCTGAAACATGTTTTATTTTTTTATCTGGGGTGTTTCTCTGTGTCGACACTGCAGCTTGTCTTTTTGTTTTGTTTGTTTTCTCCAGAGAAAAGCTGGATCTCTGCCGTCAGAATATTAAGAGTCTGTTGAAGCAGAGGGATCATTTGGAGAGTGAGATAGAGCAACAGAAAGCAGCCGACAACAGGTGAGTTCAGAGTGAACAAACACATTCAACAGTTTGTTGTTGTTTTGTAATCGCCTGTATTCCCGTCTCTCTGTTGTCACCCAGCAGCAGCGTGGCGGTGTTTCGACTCAGAGCCGAGCACAAGCGTCTGTGTGAGAAGCTGCAGAGTGAGGAGGAGCTGGAGGGCCACATCAACACCGAGCTGAAGCAACAAGAGTGAGTCCAGGAGGAAAATGCTTCGGTCTTGTTCTGACAGAAAGTAGTGCCGCGTGAGAACAGCAGCCCCCTCGTTCGCTTCACTTGGACCGCTGCTTCAGCCCCACAGAGGGCTCCGAGAAAAATACCAAACAATAAAACACACAGGCATCCAGTAGAAAACGTGAAACTGCCTGAAGTTTTGTCACAACACAGCGAGGCCTCATCCAGCCCACAAGGTCCTGTCCTAACAGAGTGAATATCGTTGAACAGAGTCCTGCCTCAGTTTGCTGCTGTCATGACTGAGGATGAACTGGTTTCTGCCACAATAACGGCGCAGAGTTGTAACATCTGTTCTAAACTGCTTTGCTGTTAAACCAGCATCTCAACGGTATCTGAAACAACACACCTACATCTCTGCAGCCTCTCGTGTTTTTTTGTGCACTTTTTAGCCAGAAAGCTTTGTGCAGCTGCATCACAGTAATGAAGGCCGTGTACTGATGAATCTCTATGAAATCCTGCCTCGTTTAGCTGTTCAGAGCCGCCTCTGTCCAAAGCAAGGTTCTGTCTGAATGCTGATTTAAACAATCGTCCAGATAAATCTGCCTCTTAAACCAGTTCATTCAGATGAAGCTCGTACTGACCTTCAACATTCTTTATATTAAGTGTCAGTCAGCAGCTTTACAGGTTTTCTCTGTCTACATCTGTCCATTTGGTTCCGTCTACCCCCATGTGTCTCCGCAGGTTGGAGCTGAACGAGGTGGAGGTGGAGCTTGGCAGGTTCTCCTCGCTGCGGCAGGAGGTGCAGGAAGAGGAGCGGCTCTTCCACGTCCTTAAAGCACAGAAGGCCGCGGCGAGGCTGCAGCAGGAGAGAAACGTCCGCCAGAACCTGCACCTTAAGATGCAGCAGCTCAGGGAGTGAGGACAGCATTCACACTGCTGGTTTTGTTTTAGAACCAAAAAATGTTTTATGACTCACAGTTTTTTTATCATGTGCACTGAAGAGAGCTCAGATACAGTATAGTGTCCTGATGTGTGTTTTTAATGTTCTGTGTGTAAGTTCTGTGCGTGTGCTCTGACAGTAAACAGGAAGCCATGCTGAAGGAGGAGGAGACTGCAGGTCAGAGGAAAACCGAAGCGAGCCAAGCGAGCCGCAAGACAGCTGCCAAGTACTTGAAACAGACCATTAAAAGGTAATCAGCTCTTAAACCAATAAACAGTGTCAGAGCACGACAAAGATCTGAATCATCTCAGAGGACTGAATGGAGAGTCGACACGTCCTATTGATCGTTCACTCATACAGACAGGATGTATGACAAGCAGGGAAGACGTGACACTTGAAAGAGCTGCGATTCGTGCTCCGATGTTCAGGATGAAAGTGAACAGCACATGAGATCTGAGCAGAAAAACGTCATTCAAGTCTGGATTTTCCCCCAAAATCACCAATTATAAAAAATGCATCGTAGATCCATCCATCATCTCTACACCTTAATCCTCACCAGGGTCATGGGGGGCGGAGCCTATCCCAGCTGACTCAGTGTGAAGGCAGGTTCACCTGGACAGGTAACCAGTCTATCACAGGGCTACACTTAGAGACAGACAACCAAGCACACTCACATTCACACCTACGGACAATTTACAATCACCAATTAACCTCAGCATGTTTCTGGACTGTGGGAGGACCCGGAGAACCCGGAGAGAACCCACGCTGCACGGGGAGAACATGGAGACTCCACGCAGGAAGATCCCGGGTGTCCTCACCGGGACGCCAACCGGCGACCTTCTAGCTGCGAGGCGACGGTGCTAACCACTGCTCCACCTTGCAGTCCCTGGCCCACTCATGCTCCTCCTTAAAAGATTTACATTTTAAACCCATCAGATGGACGTGTCTCATCCCCCAGTGGCTACCAGAGGCAGCGCTGTACGAAATTAGTTAGTGGGGAAGAAAAACACCTCATGTTTGTCGCTGTGCATTATTTTTCACATCATTATACTGATGTGAAAAATGGTAGTGCTGGCGACCTTCTAGCTGCGACGCGACGGTACTAACCACTGACCCACCTTGCAGCCCATGCATTATAGTTGAAATATAGGTTTTGTTCTGGTGAATGTGCGTTCTGGATTTGCACATTCTGCCTGTTCCTCTGGTGGTCCAGCGCTTTTCCATCGTCCAGAGACATTCACTTTAGGTTAACTGGTGATTCTGCTGTAGGTGTGAGTGTGAGCCAGCGTGGCTGTCTGTCTCTGTGTGTTAGCGCTGCAATGCACCGGCCACCTGTTCAGCTTGGACCTCGTGTCATTTCCAATGTCAGCTGGGATAGGATCCACCCCCCACGATCATCTGAGTGATAAGGTGGGCATTACTAATGGATGGATGGATGTTTGCTGCTCCTGGGTGAATATGACTGTTACTAACTCAGCGTCCAGCTGCACAGTGACGCTGTTTTGTCATAAGTCCACTTCAAACGATGGAACTCAAAGATGAATGATGTTTTCTGTTATTATCGTTATTGTCAGCAGACGCCATGAAAGCACTAAAAACACACCGATGAGCTGCACGGCTGCACAGGGGACGGGTTGTTTCTGTAGTACGGGCACACAAATAATCACTTCACAGCAATTTGATTACAAGTAGTGCATTTGCTCCGATGTGAAACTAAGAAAATCTGCCAGTTTGTACCAAACAGCAAGCTGTCTGTAGAGGTCGATGTATGATGGTGTCCTTCACACTGTCTGAGCTGCTACAGAAACTCTGACTTCCACTCATAACTCCTCCTCATCAGAGCAAGTCGTGAGCTGTCAGTGACCAGCTCTGGTCAGTGAAACTACGAACGGTTTTTAACTGTCTTCCATCTGATGTTTAGTTGGTCACTGATCGTTCTGAATCCTTTTTATTAGGGTCCGAGGACCCCTACTTGTTATTTTTTGAAGTCTCACAAACATGTTCTCAGTTCTTCTCCATGTGGAGCCATGAGGCAGACAGTCCATGGATCCACAAGTGAAGAAGTTCTGGTGCTCATTTCATACCAGTATTCGTGCAGTTAGGTGGATTGGAAATAGTTTTGTGTGTCAGTGATCACTTTTGTTGCTTTGAGTTTGTACTTTGAGAGCTGTATTTACAATATAGTTTATCTAAAGTCTTAGTTTTTGATAGTTTATAGGAAAAAAATACTCGTCAGCTTAGAATAACTCTGAATCTGAAATTAAATCTGCTATTTACTCCTTTTTAATAACATTAACTATAAAGTCAGTGATTGCTACAATTAATTAGAAATAATTATGATCATTATTTCTAATTAAATATGTAACTTAAAATTAAGCTATATTATATTTTTGACTATTTTTGAAAACACATGAGGAGGTCAAAAAATCAGGCAGAGTTTGATAACTTAAAGCCCCCCTGCAGCACTGTTTTCTATCATTTTTTCCACCCATGAGCTAAGGTTCATGGTATTTCCTTGAGCTACCAGTAACAGCACGTTACTTACATGCTTTGAAATTCTCCCCGTTTCGTTCAGGATGCGTCAGGAAGAGGCTGAGAAGGAGCAGCAGAACAGGGAGCTGCTGGAAAAGAGGACGCAGGCCGTCGAGTCGCTGAAATCGAACATAGCAGCCACACAAGTAAGCAGAGGAACGTGCTAATAGCGTTAGCATCGGGGTAATTCGTCATAAAGCTGTAAAGACTGAGTTGTGCTCAGACATGAAGACAATATAAACACACTGTCAGTACATGTATTTATATAAAACACCTGGGAGACTCCATTTATTGTTGTGATGATTGTTGGGAGATTAGAAACCAGATTGTTTAATGATGCATGAATTCTACAGAACAAATGCACTTGGACCTGGATTTATTGACTCCATTTGCTTCAACTGTTTCTCCCAGCCACAATAAGCACGTAGCAGACGCCACGTTTCACATGTCAGCTGGGTAAATCCACTGTTGGCCTGGTTGTTGTTGACAGTACGCACATGGTCGTCATTATGATCGGCTCGCTTGTTGATATATTTTACAATTCAAGATAAGAGCCGAGGTTTGTTTTTCATATCTTAGAAGAAAGCAGAAAATACCCACGGCTGCATGTGGTCAAATGTGGGTTTATTAATCTGGTTTTGTGTCTTTTAGGAGAGTTTACGGGTCCAACAGAGCAGAGCGAAAGCAAACGCCCGGAAAAAAGAACAACAACGACGACAACTAAGAGAATCCCTGCAGGCCCAAGGCATCAACAGCATCAAGCATATGTACCAGCAGAAACAACTGGAGGAGATAAAACATCAACAAGAGTACGTCCTCTCTCCTCTCCTCTCCCACATGCATGTCCTCCACTCCCACTCCATGCAGCAGCGTGTGGGTGTTTTCTCTCGCTGTGTGCAGAGCGATACGTGACCCCATTTCAATATAATGCAGTGCTGTTGATTTACCCTTCTCAGGGAATTTGAGAAGAGCCACAAGTCAAAGAGGGTGGAGATTGTAGAAAAACTCCATCAGCAGGAGCAGCTGATGAGGAGCAAGAGGAGTAATAACCAGGCAGTGCTGGCCAAACCCTCCACACCTGACAAGTCTCTGAGGAGGGCCAAGGAGAGGCTCCGGTATTACCTGGATCCCACCCCCACCTCAGCCCCTGAGGAGAGAACCACAATCGTGAGGCGATGCAAACATCTGAGACGCCATTTATGAAACGACTGCATGCATGTTGATCACTTAGTGTGTCTGTGTCCATTTGTCCAGCAGTTACGACAGTTCAGCAGCAGCAGCAGCAGCTCGTCATCAGCTGCCTCTGATGCTGAGGACCTGGAGCAGGAAGTGGACCACCACAGCCTCGCTGACAGCCTCGCTGAGCCCGAATTCTCCGGGCTCTGGGACCAGAACTACAAGGTGCAGTAAAACAACAGCGGCTGCCAACCAAAAGTAAATCCATGCAGGCTGCTAAATTTAAACCCTCATAAATCACCGCACTGTTCAGCAGACACGTCATCTTTTTAAGGATTGCACCAGAGACTTCTGCTAGCGAGTGGGGGGACATGCAGTAGGGTGGTGGGATGTGGAAGAGGGGAACATGGAACTCCACATCATCAGAGGGA